AGAAACTAAGGTTTTGAGGTGAGATATAACCCGACCAAAGTCACTGGCAGGAAGTGTTGGACCTCTGGTGTGAACCAGGGCTGTGTGCCTCTGCAGGGTCAGAGTGTGGGTGGGGGAGGGTCTTCAAGGGATGAGAGACAAGCGGGTGGCCTGGCTGGATCGAGAGTGAAAAGGGAGAGCGAAGCCTGATTCCTAAACCACGTGTCTTCATTTATTTTCCACCCTGTCCTGGGTCATGGGAGGCACTGCAGCCAGGGAACAGACGGGGTCTTTGGCGGTGTGGCTGGTGCTCAGGGGAGGGCGAGGAGGAGACGGACGGCTTCGAGGGTCTCCAGACACACAGCCCGGAGGACTTGGTGGTGGGTGGGACGCAGGGAATGGAGACAAGAATGACTCCATTTCCTGACCCAAATCACCAGGGGATTCTTCTCCAGGAAGGAGGACGCTTGGGGGATGAGCACGTGTGGACGGGAAGAGCCAGTGTGTGGTGGGAGCGTCTTTGTGGAGGTGTCACGTGTCCTGGCGGACCTCGTGGGTTCAGGTCGTTGCTCCGCCTGCCTGGAGTCCCCAGGCCTGTCCAGGCTCCTGATGAACTCCTCCCCTCCCTGCTCTTGCTGCAATGTGGCCGTAGCCACCAGTCCTGCCATCTCTGTCACTTCTGTGGCTGCGTCCTGGAGGGTGAGCTCTGCCCTGCGCTCACTGTCTTCCCACTGGGGACAAAGGTGGGAGGGACCAGGGCTGGCACGCAGGGAACCAGCCCAGAGTCGGCAGTTGGTCCTGTTACCATGGGGACTGGAGGGCTCCAGCTGCCTGTCCATCAGAGCTGCAGCCACTGCTGGAGGCACCAGTCATTTTGCAGTTCAGAGGGCAGGGTCTTGATTTCCAAAATGGAAGTGAACATCAGCCTATCACTCATATTTTGGGAGATTTACTGATCAGAGTGTAAAAAGCACAGAGTGAAGGAGTCTGCATGGAGGCACTTGCCCAATTTATCAACAGATGTTTAACCTACATAAATCCCCAGGCCCCGCATGGCCCATCCACCTTCAAACAAACACAATCCAACAACTAAAGGTAGTTTAAAAGGTAATTCCAGGGGCGTTCCAGGCCTAACAATGGTGCAGGAGCTTGGACTGGATGGGTTCTTCCCATAAGGAACAATTATAAACTCTGGATTACATAGAAAAGATTATTTAAGGACGCTGGAGAGTGACTTAGGCGGCGACAACTAGAGGGGGCTTTTGAAAGAAGGGAACTGCTCTGCTGAGATCCACGTGAATAAGAGTTTCCTCTGAGGGCCCCCCCCCGAGAAGTCAGAGGATGGGGTTCCAGCTGCCAGAGTGGCTAGAACATGAGGGGTAAAGTCTTAAGTTTCCTGAGAGTTTTTGTTGTGAACGGGTGTTGGATTCTGTAAATGCTTCTCCTGCACCTCCTGATACGATCATGTGAGGTTTCTTTTTGAGCTTCTTGGTGTGATGGGTTATATTAACTGATATTTTAATGTTGAACCAGCCTTGCAGACCTGGGGTCAATCCCACTTGGTCGTGGTGTGTAATTCTTTTTATACATTGTTGGATTTGATTTGATAATATTTGTTGAGGGTTTTTGCATCTATGCTCATAAGAGATGTTGGTGTGTATTCATGTTTTTTGGGTTTTTTTGTAATGTCTTTGTCTGGCTTTGGTATTAGGGTAATGCTGGCCTCATAGATTATGTTGGGTAGTATTTCCTGTGCTTCTATCCTCTGAAAGATATTGTAAAAAAATGGTATAATTTCTTTCTTAATTGTTTGGTAAAATTCACTAGTGAACACATCTGCACCTGGTGCTTTCTGTTTTAGAAAGTTATTAATTATTGATTCTGTTCAAAGGAAAAGAATCCAGCACGTCGTTCATAATATTCAATACATAACGACAGTTCCCAGATATATGAAGGAACATGAAAACGTGACCCGTGGGCAAGAAAAACAACAAGACAACCAAGCAATAGAATCAGACCCACAAATTAACCAGATGTTGGAATTACTAGATAAGGAGTTTAAAATCCTGTGATAAATGTAAAGAATCTATAGGGAAAGTTGGTACATACACATAATGAGCAAAAAAGTGGTGACTTTCAGGAGAGATTTAGAAATTCTAAAAAAGAACCAAATTGAAATCATAGAACTGAAAAATACAGTATAATATACTGAAGGAACCAGTAATTGAGATAGGATGGAATACTAAAAATACTTGATTAAATTGAAAGAAGGAAAGGAACAAAGAACAGAGGAAACAAGTAGAAAATAAACAGCAAGATGGTAGACTTAAGCAGGAACCATATCAATAATTACATTTGAGGTAAATCGAGAAGGCAGACAGGATAAAAAAAGTCGATACTCAACCCTGTACACTATTTACAAGGGATGTACATTAAGCATAAAGACCCAGACAGGCTGAAAAATCAAAGTAAGGAAAAGGTGTGCTGGCCCACTTTGCCCTGGGGGTAGGGGTAGGAGTGTCCCCACCCCCTTTCCTTTCTCCCCGGTCCAGTGCCTCAGCACTCACTCTGCCAAGTCAGGGGAGGCCTGGAACCAGGCTGCTCCGTGGATGGCAGGTAGAAGAGAGGAAGCGAAGACAGCATTCCTTCAGGAGGCATATGGTGGGAAGATGGTGAATGTGTTCACATTAGTAAATTTTGCCCCTACTGTGGGCTGTACTGAAAGCATCTATTCATACGTGGTATCCTTGAAGGTTAAACCATAATATCCCACTGAGACAAGAAATGAGGCATAGGCAGGCTACAGGTGCGGTGCAGATAAATTGTTATATGTCTTATCAAGCATTATTAATGAAATGGTAACTCACATCGCATTGAGTTAGTGAAGTCAACTTCATGATGATCAGTCTCTGACTTGGGGACATATTAAGTGTCTTCATTTATCAAGTCTCGAGTCGTCCTGCCCACTGACTGCTGCCTCTTGGCCACGAGGGGCCTGGGTGCACACGCTGATGGCGTTGCTTTGGGAGGGCGGCCCCAGCTCAGAGGTCCATGCAGGCCCCAAAGTCTCAGCATCTAGGAGCATGATCTAGAAATTGGGGGCCCATGAACTCGTCACCCACGAGAAGCATCCTGCGGGGACCCTCTGAGGTGTGGCCCACAGGATGGCTTTGCCGGAGGGAGAGGATGAAATCCGATCCTCCAAGTCAAGGACTTACACATTGCCTGGCACATAGTAGGTGCTCAGGAAAAGGTAGCTACTTTGTCTTTGGTGTTTCTAATCTTCGTGAAATTGGACAAGGCCTCTCCACCCTCACCCCTCTGGCCTCCCACCCCAGACTCTGAACTGGCTGACAGTGTCCCCTAAGTGTCCCCAGAGTGCTCCACCCCAGGCCCCTCCCACTGCTGCTGGGGCTCAGAAAACCCTTCCTCCTCTTGGCCTTCAGGCAAGTTTCTCCTCCACCTGTCCATCATGTGTCAGCCCGCCCTCCTGGGAGGAGCCTCCCTTTCCCTTCCTGGCTGCCTGGCCATGCGAGCTAGTCTCTCTCCTGCCTGTGTCTTCTGTCCTTGGTGGCCCTCTTGCTCTGCTCTGCCCCGCCCAGCCTGGCGGCCAGCCAAGCCCAAGCTGAGGAATTTAACTGGTTGTTCAGAAATCCCTGGTGGAATATTCCAGACAGATAAGTGAGGGTGAAGGTTTCAGGCAGGGCAGGCAATCATTCCTGCTTATCTCAAAGGCCTGAAGAGATAAGAACATTTTGGAAGACCTGAACCTGAGAGTTGGAGCCTTAACTGCATCTATGGAAGAAAGCCCCAAGGAGGAAGGAGCGCCCCTCTGACCCACAGATCGGCAGAGCGGGGTCACGGGGCACTTTGACTGGAAAGGTGTATGAACAGCCTGGGCCACATCAGGTGCCACCCCAAGGAGCGAGGGGACCATGGTCTGGGCAGAGTGTTTGCTGCAAGCCCTGATAACTGCCCCGAGACTCTCAGAGATGTTTATGTGATGATGGGTCAGCCTTTGGCCAAGGACCGCCCCCGACCCCCGGGAGGGAGATAGGTGGAAAGTTACAATGGCGCATTTGGGTGGAAAGGAACCATATACACAGTGGCAGATAATCCTGTCACTGTCAATATCCAGCTGAGAAGAAGAATCAGGTGGAGTGCTCACTGGGGGAGTGCTCAGGCCAGAGAAACCCCACGGACCCTCCCGGCTCCAAAATTCTGTAATTCTGCATTTCTTTCCAAAGGGGCATATGTGTATGCCAGAGGGGCAGTGAAGAGACCCACCCAGATTAGGGGCTGATCAGGGTAACCCTAAGACTGCAGAAGTGGTGAGCCCCAAGCCCCCTGAGTATCTAAGTTCCAGTCTCCACAATGTCCTTGGGCCTCTCAAGGTGGTGCTGGTGCGGGGGTCGTCAGGTTGGGAGGGGTCGTCCTGAGCTTGAGGCCCAGGGGTGGCTTCACTCTGCATCACCTGGGCAGGCTGTGCCCTCCCTGTGTGTGCATTGGCTCAGGCACTGGCGTAGGCAGCGCTGCGATGAGTCCCAAGATCCTGGCTATGATGGCTTCACAGCACAGAGGCACCAGTCAGGGTGGAGGGTGACAAAACTGGCAGAGGGCATTAGAGAAATACAACGCCCCATCCCTAGGTGGCATCCAGCCAGGACCCCAGACCAGCCTACCTGGCTGGCCTCCGGTTCCAGGTGCAGGGCCCCAAGAGAGCTGGCTCCCGGTGTCTGTGGAAGGAGTAAGTCCATTTGACTGAAATCCTTCCTCCTCTCCCAGGTTGCCTGTTTCGAGTGTGACAAAGGTCCTCACAGCTCTGAGGAAGGGGCAGGGAGATGTGCACGGAGACAGGGCCCTAACAGGACCGGGCAACTCGGCCGGTGTTGGGTGACAGAAACACCTGACAGGAGTCTGACTTCCGGCTGGGCGCCCAGGTGCTCCCGCAGCGCCTGCTCTGTGGTCCAGCCTCCTGCCCTGCCCCGGCCCCAGGTGACCACATGACCGGCAGACTTTGCCCTGGGAGCCTGGCAGCAGGAAGCGGCCTGACCTTGGGGCCGGCGGGACAGACTGCCGCTTCTACCTGTTTTCTGGGGGAGCACGGCTGCCACTCATTCAGGTGCTGCAGCCACTGCGCTGACCTGTTGAGGGAAGTTCACCTTGCCACGGGCCAGAAGGAGGGAGACCCGGAGACAGGTAGGGGCTCTGGAGGACCCGGTGATGATGGGCTGTCAGGCTCCCTGGAACTGACCGGGCCTGGGAACATGTGAGTCGTTGTTTCAACTTCTGTGCACTTGGCAGAGTGTCTGTGTCTGCGTGTGAGTCGTGTGTGAGTCTTGTGTATCCTATGCTTGTATCTGTGTCTGTGTGTGAGTGTGTGTGCCGCCACCGGCATCACCCAAAGGCCACAGGGAGGGGGAGGATCATAAGTCAGTGCCCTGCTTGGATCCTGAAGGCTTGGGAGGTCAGGTTTCCGGAAGGAGATCCCTGTTCAAACTCCAGTTACAGGACCTGCAGGTAAACAAACCACTGTTGGTGAGGGGGAGCCCTTCAGAGATTCCAGGCTCTGTTAGTCCAGGTCAGCTCCAGGGTGAATGGCCGCACAGTAACCTTGGTGTTCTTTACAACCCGGGGAGGGTGACAGACGCCAGGGAAGCCCTGACAATAGACTCAGCAAACCAGGCTCTTCCCTGGAATGCCCCCCCCCCCCTCATGAAAGACTAGTTAGGATTTGCAGTCCTTTCTTTTTCCTTTGGTGGACAGCAGACCCGGCTTGTAAGAAACGAAAATGTCCCAAGTCAAGATGCCAGAGAAAGCTCTATTAGTCCTTCCCACGAATATTGCATTCCTGAGAGCATCTTTGTGTTTAGAAAGACTTCAAAGAACCCCATCTTGATTAAAACCTAGAAGCGGGGTCAGGCCGCATATTTTCAATTTTCTCTCTGAACACAGGGCTCCAGCCTCTGATTATCGAGCCCTTACAATCTGTAATCGCACAAAAAGTTAATACATGAAAATGCTTCCTGCGTCTGATTAATTACAGAGAAAAAAGTTGAAACCAAGTAAAAATCCAGTAACAGGAAAATGGTTCAGCAAATTGGACTAGCTGTAGGAATGTGACACGGTTATTGAACAAACATATGCTGAATTCATGTATAACATATATAGCAATGTGGGAAACTGCCTTTGAGATATATATATTTAAAGGCAAGATACATAATTTTATGTTAAAACTGTGGGTTTGGGCTTTTTGTTTTAAAGATTTAAGAAAAAGTAGAAGAAAGTAGGCAAAATACCATTCCTGGTTACAATATATTAAGGATGTGGGATTATGAGTAATTCCATCATTTTCATATTGACAATGATGTGTTTATATTTATGGTAAAATAATATTTTTAAACAAAGAAATGTACCAAAGGAAGAAGACACTGGTATGTCATGCTATAGAAATAGTATATTCATTCATATTCCACCTGAATTTTGGTTAATTCAAACATGTTTGGGGCTAAAGATTTTCTTGACTCAAGAAGAATTTTATTAATCGCAAGGAAAAAATAGCACGGAAAACTTGAAGAAGTATCTTTAACACTTGAGACTGCATTGCTGTACTTGTAGGTGTGCTAGCACTGTCTATGGGAAATTACAGCACAAATCAATGGAACATAGGCTTCCAAGCAGGTGGCTTTAGTACTTCCAGCAACAGACACGGTATTGTCCTGGGGTAGCACAGAAGGCTCGGAAATTCCATTCTTGAAAGGGTTCTCTTTTTCCGGCTTTATTGAGATATAATTGACATATAACATTGTGTAAGTTTAAGGTATGTAATGTGTTGATCTGATACATTTATATGTGACAAAATGATAATTACCACCACAGCAACAGCTAACACCTGTGCGGCTGCAGCAACTTTTTACAGATTCCCCAGTTCACTGCTTGACAAGTTACTGGGTGTGACTGGTGTGCAAACCAAGTGGTGGAAACAGCACGTCTGTCCAGTAAAGGCTTCCTGCTAGGCCATTCCTGTGCGTGCTCAGGAGGTCTTTATTAGGCACCTACTGTATGCTCAGTGGATACAGTCCTCTAGCCCCCTGAGGTGAGGAGGGAGGTGACCGTTTACAGGACTGGCTGACCTGTGGTGGGCTTGGATATTTTTTTAGGGGAAGTTTTTCTTTCTGGAATCGGTTCAGATAATAAATGAAGACAAATGATAACATTGGACTGCCACCGTTTTGCAACCCCCAAGTGAAATGGTGCATCTAGCAATGGTCTTTTGTGACCGCCAACATTATTTGCCTTCTGAGGAAATGCTCACCACACTTGTGAATTGTTCTTGCTAAAAAATGGCCTGTATCTGATCCAATTTCTGTTCTGAACCACAAGCGATAGGAAATACGTCTGCAGGGACATAGTCAATGACAACCTAGGATGCAATCAGCGAAACCCAAACTGGAAACGACAAGATGCTCGGATTTCTTCAACAAACAATTTCAAAGAAAAAAAGAACGTGTGTGTGTGTGTGTGTGTGTGTGTGTGTGTGTGTACTGAGATTTGCACATGAAATAATAGGATGTCTGGGAATTGCTTCCAACTAACGTTTGGTGGTGGGGATTTGGGGCATGTGGGTGAAATGACTGACCACAGCTGGGTATTGTGGGCGTGGGTGATGGACGCATGAGGCCCCCAGTTCTCCATTTTCTCTATTGTGCTCTGCACCTGCAGTTTTCTGTACTGAATATGTATGCAGGGTTTGCCCAAAGTTATTTTGATCCAGAGCTATCTTTCTCCAGGGCATATCACTGTGGGTTCTGAGGCTCTAGATACCACGGGAAGGCTAGAAATAGAATTCTTTTTTTTTTTTTTTTAAAGATTTTTATTGGGGAATTGGGGGATGGGAACAGCACTGGGGAATTGGGGGAAGGGGAACAGACAAGTTGCTGTCTTTTTGTTCTTCAGTCTAGTTGTGGAGGATGTTGCTTCACTGGCCCAAGTTAGCACCATCATTGCGCTCTTCCCCGGCGAGGCAGATCAGTCGCCGGCTTCTGGATGGCCGCTCACTGTGGCTGCTGGCCGCTCACGCTGGCTGCTGGCTACACACGGTAGCCCATGGCAACCCACTGCCACAGGGGCTGCAGCCTACGCCATCGCCGGCAACTCAGGCAGCCCAACTCCAGGTTGAGCTGTTGTTCAGCATCTTAGCTGTGTTACTGGCCCTCATATGTGGGATCCGAACCGGGGCCCTCTTGCGTCCCAAGCCAGCTCTTAACCACCGCGCCACTTGGCTGGCCGGAAATAGAAATTCTTGAAACACCAACCTTTTTAGCAGAGTTTTTTCTTTTTTTTTGAAACACCAACTGTAATCCATAAACCAAAAACCGAGAGAGTACTTTACGTCCCAGGTGTTTCAGATGCTTTTTGGAATAAGTAAGATTTTTTAAAAAGAGAATTAGTGCAGTGAGGCGAATTAGCCAATACGGTACCCAGCTCGCCACTGTTGCTTTTCGGGACGTGCAGCTGTTCATTGTGCAATGACCCCTGCGGGCACGGACGCACCTCCCATACATAGCTCAGGGTATTTGGTGGCAGACATTCGCCCTCCTTCAGACGCTGTGTGTCTCTGCAGGGCATGGCGCAGGCGAACGGGGCCCCCCAGCCCGGGGCTGCCCCAAGCCAGCTCTGCGTGTTCAAGCTGGTCCTCCTGGGAAGTGGCTCTGTGGGCAAGTCCAGCCTGGCTCTGCGGTTCGTGAAAGATGACTTCAAGAGCATCCTGCCAACGGTGGGATGTAAGTGGCCGGAGAGGCAGGGTGGGAGTGGGGTGGGGAGGGGGCCCATGGGGCACTCGGTGGTGGTGCCAGCCGGGCAGGTAGAGAAGAGGTGTTTGTCGGGCTAACACATGGAATCCAGAGCTCAGCCAAGTCCACAGGTGAAGATTCAAGCTCGGGGTCTCTGGCCCCCCGACAGGGTTGTGTGGTGGAAGAGGGGGCCCGGAAGAAGCACCCCCAGGCCCTGCCGCTCGGTCACCTGGACAAGCTGGTCTCGGAGCTGCTCCGTTTCTTCCTGGACTCGGTTTACCAGCCTGCGGGCAGTAGGTAGGGGAGGCAGGGAGGGCAGACCTTCCAGCGGCTTTTCTTCAAGAGGCTGTTAACACTGCACGGCTCTCAGAGGTAAAGGTCCATGAAGCATCTGCTGGGCTGTCGCCTACTTCACATCCCACCTGGGGGCAAAAACTCCGTTTCCCACCTAAAATAGCAAGACCCAGCAAGTTCTTCATGCCACCCCATCCTGGGAGGCGGCCGGTGTGGTGGAAAGATACTTCACTCAGAATCAGAGCTTTGGTTTCAATTTTGAACTCTGCCATGATAAGCTGTCTGTTTTCCTGAGTTCGTTCATTCATTCATTCACTCATTCATTCATACACTCACTTAGTGAGTGTCTGTGGGGCTGGCCTGGTCCCAGGCCTGTGTTAGGCTGGAGGGTTCTAAAGGGAGCTAAATAGCTGCCCCTCCCCCAGCCCCAGGCCTAGCCCCTCCCTCCGAGGGGGAGAACCGGTTCCACCGTCAGCACTGTGCCTCTGGCCTGGGGCTGGGACTCTGAGCCTTTGTCCTCACTCTGTCCCTGGGACAGTGAGTAGGAGGGCATGGAGGCAGAGAACAGCCAGACTGGATCAGTGCAGTGGCTCCCTACCTCTAGCTGAGTTTAGGAATCCTTCGTTCAACCTGCAACCTACCCATGGGGCCAGCACTGATTTACTGAGCACCTACTATGTGCCAGCAATCGTGCTGTGTGTTGGGGACGTAGCAGTGAGGCCTTTGCTTTTAGGAGCCAAATCCCCTGTGGGAATGGGTTTCCACTTGTGTTCCAGGGTGTGCTTCACACGCCTCATACACCCTGTGATATTGCAACCTTCGGCGATGGATGTTGTAACTATTACATTACTATAAAATCAACCAATAAAATTGTTTATCTATTCTGTTTATTAGTACTATATTACCATACTAATTATGTGCTATTATAATAACACAATTATATGTTATTATAGTGTCATAAAGTGGATATCTGCACTTCTCAGAGGAGGAAATGGAATATCATTCCTTTATGGAAAGTGGTTTGTGTTGCACACGATCCCTTTGAAGGCAGACACTTCCGTCTTCTTCACGCTTGGTGTTCCTCCTGTTTACGGAGTGTGAGCAGAGGGGAAAGCCATGGGGCCACGAGGATGCTCACCTCCTGGGGGGGGGGGCGTAGCTGGGAAATGAGGAATCCTGCCTGACCTGCAGGAGCGCTTAGTAAGTACAAGCTGAATGAATGGACACAGGTAGCGGCTTTCGCTCGCGTCTCCACGTTTTCATCTGTGAAGTTGGATGTAAGTGCCGTCCTAGGGTGGGCTCTCCATGAAGGTTGGCTGCAGGATGTCTGAAGTCGTGGACTGCCATGTCACGACTTAAGGGCGCCACCCTTCCGAGCTGCCCCCTTGCCTCAGACACCCACCCCACACCCCTGAGAGCAGGTGGGACCAGGGCCTGGCAGGTCCACGCTGGTTCTGCCTTCAGGGCAGGCCTGCTTTAAGGTACCCCAGTCTTCAGGAAGATCGGGGGTCCCTGGGCCCCCTCCAGAGGGTCTAAACCTGTGGGTGACCGTGTGGGGTGGCCCCGCACTAGAGGATTACTGGGCATGGCCCTCTAGAACAGTGCACGGCAGAGCAGTGTACCTGCTGTCCCCACTCATCCTGCGGAAACAGGAGCGGGAGCTGAAATTGTGACAGACAGACCTGAAGCTGGGTCAGAGTGGGGATCCCAAGTGAGTGTACCCCACCCACCCCCCATGCTGGGGGGAGACAGGAACTCCTGGCCACCCTCAGTCCCCAGAAGGCTTCCAGCTGCAGGAGAGGGCCTGGCAGGGGAGGTGGGCAGCTGCCTCTCTCTGGAATCCTCACTGGCCACAGCAGGGCAACTCTGGTTGCCCTGTACTGCATTTTCTTGGTGACACCTCTAGGAAAGATGGTGACATACAGTGCTTGTGTGTATATTTGCTGGTGGAAGCCAAGATGAATCCCAAACCAGCTGGGCCTTGCACGGGCACGGAAAGCACCAAACACGTTTCACTTTGCCACCAGCTCACTTCCCTTCTAAACAGAGAAACTTGCTGAAGCCACAGTGCCTCCAAGAAGTTACCCATTTCACCTTCCCTCCAACCAGGAGTCAATCAGCTTATAATTTTTACAAAAAAAGGTGAATGCTACAAAGAGTCCTTAAAGGAACATCATCAGCTGTTTAAATTAAAAGGTAGAAAAGCAAAACCCACTTTTATTTTGTAACCATTTGTTGGTGACACTTTTTCATTTGGGGCAATAAAATGCCAGTTGGCAAGCAGTCCCCAGGTAACTCTTATACCGTCCTGTGCCCAGTCGGAGCCTGTTCCGCTCACCAGGTCGGGGGTGTTCCTGCTCCCAGAAGCCCCCAGAGACAGAGACCGAGCTGAGCTCTAGAAGTTCAGAGGCCGAGGGGCAGGGCCGGGAGTGACCCCTGTCGCTGGGACACCTGTGTTGAGGTCTGTGGTGAAACCAGAGGAGGCCGGAGACCCGATTCGTGCTGTGACAGGAGCCGCATATAGAACACAGTGCCGGTGGCCCCAGTTCAGACCACAGTCCCATAAAAATATGCAAATGTGTTATCGCCACCAGCGTATTCTAGACATGGGAGAAAGTCCTGCTCTTGGCCTGATCCCAGCCCCACAGCCCACCAATATCATTTCAGGCAAAACCATTTCTTGGAAGTCAATTTTGAAATCACATTTTGGTTTTAGCTGTGAAGACGTGGAAAATGTGGTTAGTGGGTTTCCGAACAAGGAAGATAATAAACGTGGCTCTTTTGTGGGCGGGAGCCCAGGAGACCAGGCCGGGGTGGGAGGCTGCCTCGATGCCCGCTCAGGGCCCAGCCGAGGGCCTTGTGTCTTCTGCAGATGACAAAGTTCTGCCTTCTGTAAACACCCAAGCAGCCTCTCGTGCCTCCTCGTTGCTGGACTGGAAACCCCGCACTTCTTGGATGTTTGTCAGGACTCTCGTATGGTGATTACACAGGACCCCTGGTCATCATTTTCAAATGAAAAAAGAAAATGCCAGAAGCTAGAGCTAGGGCTGCTCGTCGGAGGAGGCAAACCTGACTTCCATGCCCATGCGTGACCTGGCAGTGACAACTTTTAAGATGTAACAAAATCAAATGCAGAAATGTGATTTGACGTGATAGAAAACAGACAAAGGGTGTGGAGAAAAGGCTGATGTACCCAGACAGTCGGCAGAGCAGCGGGCAGGCAGACAGACGGAGGGAGCTCCCCGTGCCAGACGACACAAGTCCGTCCGCTTTTTTCTCGTGGGTTTCACGGCCTCCCTGGGAAGAGGGCACTGTTGTCTCATGTCAGAGGAGGAAACCGAGGCTTAGAAGGTATGAGCCAGCTGACCAAGTCCGTGGGCTGGTAGACCTCCCTCCGAGGCCCATGCATGACCTTCACCCTCATGTTGCCATCAGTTCAGTGGGACACCTGCTGTGTTAAGTGCCGCGTTCACTCCTGACCAGGAGCCTGTACCAGCCGGGAGCCATTAGTCCTACTGTTGAGATAGAGCTTGCAGCTTTGTTTGACCCAGAGTCAGTCTGGTTGGGCCCCCAGGACAAACGCCACCGACGAGGTGCCTTCAGCAACAGAGATGGATTCTCATAGCTCTGAGGCTGGGGTCGAGGTGCTGGCAGGGTAGGTGTCATTCTGAGGCCTCTTCTCGTGGCTTTAGGTGGCTGTCACCTCGCTGTGTCCTCACATGGCCTTGTCTTTGTGCTTGCATGGAGGGAGGGTGGGGAAACGGGGCTCTCCATGCCTCTTCTCACAGGGCACTAACCCCACCATGGGGGCCCCGCCCTCAGGACCTCATCTAACCCTCATCACCCCTGAAGACCCTCCCCCGCGATACCATCGCACCGGGCCTTAGGACTTCAAATGATGAATTTGGGGAGACACATTCAGTCCATCACACGGAGGAAGTTTATCCGACTTCAAGTTCATGGGCAAGCAGGAAAATGTGGGACGCACAGGCAGAGGACCGCGTGGTGGCTTCTGTTTAGCAGCCCCCCCAAACTAGAGTGTTGTGAGAGAGAATCGTGATCTTCCCCGCTCTGTGCTAAAGACCTCAGTCCAGCCTTTTCCCTTCGCCTCTGCCTGCTGTGGGTTGAATTGTGGCCCCCAAAAGACATATCCATGTTCTAACCCCAGTGCCTGTCAGTGTGGTCTTATTTGGGAAAAGGGTCTTTGCAGATGTAATGGGTGTTGAGATGAGATTGCCCTGGATTTCAGGTGGGTCCCGAATCCCATGACTATTCCTTATTGGCACAGAGGAGAGCACAGAGGGAAGGGCGTGTGAGCGTGGAGGCAGAGATGGGAGGGATGTGTCCACAGCCCAGGAACCCCGGCAGGTGCTGGCGACCCTGGACAGAGGTCGGGGGGATTCTCTCTCAGAGCTTCCGGAGGGAACCAGCCCGACACCCTGATTTTGGACCTCTGGCTTTCAGAAAGGATAAATTTCTTTTGTTTTAAGCTACGCAGTTTGTGGCGCTTTCTTATGGCAGCCCCAGGAGACTAACACGCTGGCCTTGCAGAGAAAGTTTTAATTTCAAACACGTGGCTTCATTTGCCAGACTCTCCCAACAGGCTCCAAAGCTCACGCGGAGTCTGGTTCGGGCAGCGGCCTTGACTGGAGGCCCCGACCTGCCAGCTCCTCCGGGCCCTGGAAGCCGGGCCTCTCCAGCCCCTCCCTGCCCCTCGTCTAGCTCTGCCTATGACACACCCCACACACTATGGGGGCAGAACATCTGGGTGCTTCTAAACAACTATTTTTAAATCACAGCACTTTGGAAAGCAGAGCTCGGGTCCTTGAGTTAGAGCCCTGAGAATTTATCTTCCCACCCAAAGCCTCTGTGGCACCTCCAAAGGGGCAGCAACGATTCCTGTAACACTTTGCTTTGTATGGAAACCACCACCTTCCAGAAGGGGCGTTTGCTCAGTCTTCCCACTGAGGGTGGCAGGAAGCACGTTCCCCTGACCGGGTGGCTGAGCCCAGGGCTGGCGCTGGCCCAGCCTGAGTAATGGAGGAAGACCTCATCCTCTAGATAAAGCTCCCCCTGGGCCTGTCTGTTTCAGGTGCGTTCTTCACAAAGGTGGTGGAGATGGGGACTGCATCTCTGAAGTTTGAAATCTGGGACACGGCTGGCCAGGAGAAGTACCACAGCGTCTGCCACCTCTACTTCAGGGGCGCCAACGCTGCGCTCTTGGTGTACGACATCACCAGCAAGGTAAGGCTCACCTGGGGCCTGTCCCCACCCTCCTTTGCAAAGTACCTGCCTTCTGTTCTCCCAGGCACAGTGTTGCTGCCTTCTGAAGGCACGTGTGACTGGTCTGTCCATAGTAAAGTCATGGTGACCCATGGGGACACTTCAGTGAAAGCTGGTCACCTCCTCCAGGAACCCTCCCTGACAACCCCTCCCCTCCTCCTCCTGCATGGTGGGTTTTGTGCCCCCCTGATCCTCCCAGAACCCCCCTCACAGAAACAGGACACAGCCCAGATGCCCATCAAGTGCATAGTGTCATCTGGGCAGAGGTTAAATACGAGTGAGCAGACACTTAGAGCAGAAGGGGAGGGCGGGGTTCTGTGGAAGTTGATGGGAGGGGCACAAAACCCAGCCCTGGGGCAGGGGGTTTCCTGCAGGCAGGCTCTACTGAGTCCTGGGGGGGAAAGCAGGGATTAGCCTGGCTGGAGGAGTGGGCAGGGGTGGGGCCGGGCAGGGCGGGGAGGTGGCTGTGGGCAGGGAAGCAGGAAGGGAGGAGGGCATTGCGGGCTAGAGAGCAGTGAGTGGGAGCGGGGAGGGCTGGCCCTGCCACACTGAAAGCAGCCCAGCGGGGTCAGCTTTGCTGCAGGGACGGTGAGGGGCCACATGGGGCTCAGGGCGGGAGCCCCACTGTCTGATCTGCTGGGTACTGCAGTTAGGATCTGGGTTTGGGGTGACAGCCACACCCCCAAAGTCTCCCGCACAGAGAGGCCCTTGAGGGCGTCCAGGAGAGGGGGCTGCAGGAGCTGGAGGTGTGACTGGAACTCCAGCCTCTCGCCTCCCAGACCCTGTTGGTGGGGGAGGAGCTGCCCTGTGGCCCAGACCCTTCAAGGGACAGAGCAGCCCTGGGGGTGGGGGGCCCTCTGTCACATGGCCAATAGGGTCTTGTGCCACTTCACGTAATGTGGCCATTGGCACCTGCTCTTTCTTTTTGGGGCTAGCTGATGAAGACCGCCCGTAAGCTTTATCTGAGGTTCTTTTTTTTTCACTTTTAGGATTCCTTCGGCAAGGCTCAGCAGTGGCTGAAGGACCTGGAGAAGGAGTTCTCCCCTGGAGAAGTTGTGGTGATGCTGGTCGGCAACAAGACGGACCTCGGGCAGGAGCGGGAGGTCACCTTCGAGGTAGGACCGGGGACGGGTCATTGTGTCCCCAGGAGGAAAGGGGAGCAACCCTGAGACATACATGCCCACGCTCATGCACACCCACCCCACCCTCATATATGCACGCACACATCCACACACTCACACACCACACACCACACACCACACGCACACACACACACACCACACACACACATTCACACTCGCATACCCATACTCTGTATTTTCGTTCTCTTTTGGGCAAAGGTTTCTTGTCTTTCCTGAAAAGGTCAGGCCTAGAGACAGCCACTCCCAGGCGTGGGGAAGGGGTGAGCACCCCCAGGCCAGCCGTCCCGAGAGCTGGCAGAGCCTCCCGCCCGTGTCACGCAGGGAATGGGGTCCTCACCAGGTTCCCCTGGGTCACGAGAAAGCCACAACCCTCCCCACCTCCATCCTACTCTGAGTAATTTGGGTTTGCAGATCTTTTTCCTTGTTCAGTACATTACTGGAGAAGGGGCAAATGAATAAATCCAAATTTCTCTGCTAGGAACTGAGCAAGGATAGAAAATAAAAAACGCTGTGGTTCTTCTGTAAAAGGACCCACGGGGGTGGGGGGTGGGGAGTAAGTGCCGCAGGGAGGAGTGTGTAAGGTGCTATGAGAGCCAGAGCGGGAGCAGGGGTTCTAGTGGGATGTGTGCATGTGTGGGGAGGTGTGTGTGTCTGTGTGTGTGTGTGTCTGTGTGTGTGTAGGAAGAGTGTGTGCGGGTGGATTTTAGCAAAGCCTTTGGGAGGAGTGCGGCAGGCAGAGGGAGAGGAGGGTGCAGGGGTGCAGGGCTGCAGGACGGGCTCCCTGAGGACGGGGAAGGGCGGGAGCCTGCCTGGAGGAGGAGGCCACGCTGAGAAGGTGGATGGGCTCAGAGGCAGAGGTCCTTGTGTGTGGCCTGGGGGACTGGGGCCCTTATTCTGGAGGCATCAGTGAGTCAGTCTCGGGAGGGTTTTGAGTCCCTGGGGTGGGGACTGATGGGGGGTCTACAAAGAGTGTTCGGAGGCCAGTTAAGGATGAGCTGGGGCCTGGGCTGTAGACCCCACAGATCCCCTGGCCCCAGGCCACCGCCTTGGCCTCTTCTTCATCCTGAGTCCCCACTAAGCATGGCTGGGCCCCGGTGGTCAGGGGACAGCGTGCCGCAGACACTGGCATCTGGCTCTGGGGAGCCCGCGGGCGCCTGGGTTGCGACGGAGGCAAGCTGACCTGCAGCCAGTGCATGTTTTAAGTGAATTGTTTGGCTTTACATTGAAAAGATAATTTCAGAATTACGAAAGCTATTGCAAAAATAGTACAGAAATTTCCACGGTACCCTTCTCCCAGCTTTCCCAAACTGGTATCTTATGTAACCACAGGACAACAACCAGGTCAGGAGATGGACATGCAGGCGACACCAGTAGCTGCCTTACAGACCGTGTGCACGTGTCACCAGATTCCCACCAATGCCCTTTCCCTACTCCCAGGAAGGTCTGCTCCCAGATTTGGTTGTTGAGCGAGCACCTTCAAGCTAGCGCCTTCCTTCCACGCCCTTTGCACCTGCCCGCCATCCTCTGAGCTCTTGCTTACTTTCTGGCTCCCCAAGTTGTTCCAGGCAAGACCTCAAGGAATGACAGGGAGGCTTCGGGGAGGGGTCTGCCTGGGGGGGCTCACAGCCCTCCTTCACCTGACTCGGGCCCGCTGCTGGCCTCCTGTGAGTGTCCCTCCCCTCTGGGCCACACGCTGCAGCCCTGGTGCCGTCCATCTCGCCCATGCAGGCCTGACCCGTGTTGGAGACTGAGGAGGGAACCCCAGAGGAAGGGCTTGGGGGTTCCCACCGGGGGCCTCTCCCCACTGTCCTTCCATACTTCCTCCCGTCTTGCTTGGTTTTTTTGCCCGAGTCTCAGAGCCAAAGGTGCCAGGGAGCCGTGGGGGCAGGGGAGCCGTGTCAAGGATAGGGCCTTTGACTCTGCTCTCTAGCGGGCACTTGTGCCCCTTGGTCCAGGAACACCAAGAAACTGCACTCAGATAAAAAGAGGTATAGGAGTTAGTTCTCCACAGGCTGCAACTGGTCAATTAGCTCTCAAAAAAGCTGGAAACAAAACAAAACAAAAAAACCCAAAACCAAATGGTAACACTAGCCCCGTGTGGCTATTGAATTTGAAAAAAATTCAAGTTCAAACGCAAACTAAACGCTCTCAGGCAACTCTTCTTGTATGTAATGTGGAGTGTTCATGGCTGTTTCCCTCAGGATGGGAAGGAGTTTGCAGAGAGCCATAACTTGCTGTTCATGGAAACCTCGGCCAAACTGAACCACCAGGTGACTGAAGCCTTCGGTGCCATTGGTGAGTGAGTGACAGCCCCGCAGGGGAGTCGGGGGTGGGGGTCGTCACTGTCTCTGCTTTACTGGGTCTTCTTTTCTGGAGTCCTGGAACCCCACAGGACGTCTCTAGGAGAGCCAGGGCCCCTGCTTCATGACTCTGGGTAAATGACCGGGAGAGATGGGGTCCCAGGGCTGCCCTGGGCAGGGCGTGCTGGGCTGGGGGACACCCACCCCAACAACGGTCCTCCTGCTGTGTTCACAGCCCGAGAGCTGCTGCAGAGGGAGGAGAGGAAGGAGAACCAGCCGCCACCACGCGGAGATGCACGGCTGGCCCTGGGCCAGCGGCTCGCAGGGCGGGCTAACTGCTGTGCCCGCTAGAAGCAGCCACTCCCAGAGGGGCCGAGGGGAGGACGCCCCCAGGCCCAGCCCGGCTGGTCCTCAGGGTGAGCCACTGCCAGCTCTGTGTTGACAGTGGCACTTGGTTCTGACTCACCGTTGATGCTGGCTAGCGCCTGAGCCCTAGAGGTGCCCAGAAGCTGGCATCCTTCAGAATAGCTACATCCCAAAGCTGTCGAGTGTCACTCAGGACAAGATTGGTGTCAAATGGCTCCCAGAGGGTGTAGGCCCCGCCTCCCGACACCCAGACACAGACAGACTGCATCCCCAGTGCCCAGGCCAGGCGTGCGTGCTCCTGCCTGTCTTGTCCCCTTTGCTGCCTCCAGACACACAGGGGTGAAATGGGTCAGAGGGGAAATGGGGATCCAGGAAACCCAGGGACCGGATCACTGTGGTGGGTGGACGGTCACCTTGCACCTGGTGCTGGGCAGGGCTCCGCCTGCTCCTGGGAGTGGGGAGAGGAGGAAGCAGGCCCAGGTGGACGTGGTGGTACCAGGAGGAGACGGGGCTGGGTCCTTCCTCACTGGATCTCAGTGGAGTTGCCCCAGGGCAGGGGGTGTCTGCCAGCGGGCTGCAGGGGGCTGTGTCCTGGCTGTGAACTTGACGATGCCACGCTCATGCCCAGTGCATGTGAGGACTCAGCCTTTTCGCCGGAGGTGTAAGTTGTACCACTTCTGTGTTTTTCTCCAAAAATTAAACGGCTTTCTATAACTTGGTGTTTGGTGAGTTTGCAAGGTGGGGGTTTGGTATCACATACATTCTAGGGGGGCTCATAAATAAGGCGGGCCCGTGTGGAGGGCTGTTACTCAGGTGAGCAGGGACATCTCTCCGATGGTGACACATCACGCAGCCACCTCCCCACTGCCTTTACAGAGAGGCCAGGCGGTCGCTCTGGGGGGTGGGCCCAGGGGCAGGGTGAGGTGTGCTGCTTTTGGGGGGTTCGATGTTGGTTTCCATCCTTTCCTCTGGGACAATGACCAGCAGGTCTGAAATGTCAAGTAAAACACTGTCACCTCCTGAAAAGGGCGGCTTCGCTATCCGGACGGTAAGGGGACAGAGGGACACACGGAAAGCTCCCTTCCTGCTGACCCTGAACTGCATGGCATCCGCATGGCACACGCATTTCCGGGGCTCGTCCGATCTGCTCTCTGCTCTCGTCCACCCTGCCTGGGTACCTGGTCCCAGCCCCCAGGCCTGGGCCTTCAGCTGGGGCTCCGCCGGTGAGGGGCCCTGCAGGGGTGTGACCAGGACACGGAGGCCTGGCAGTGGCTCGGGTCTGTGTCTGTGAGGTCACCTCTGCGTGGCTGTGTCCCTGCCAGGGGTCACGGCTCCCCTGCAGGAGGCCTCCCTCGCAGGTTCTGCATGGTTGTCCTCACGCGTCAGGCCTGGGAGGCCCTGCGTCTCCCTGCAGCCATCGCACCTCCGCAGGGGCTATCCTGATGGGGGGGAGTTGGGCCCCCGGCAGATCCAGCTTGTTCTGGGGAGATGGAAACCGCCCAGGTGTCCCATGAGTCCTACTTTCCTGGTGCTTATTCTAAAAGACACTTCTTTTGTGACCTTTCTAGAAAAAAGCAGAGCAGACTTCACAAGGCCCCTTCTAGTCATGACCTTTGAGAAAAGCTAGGGGATAGGTAGAGAAAATAATAGCTTCCAAGTGGGCCTGCCACCTTGGTTTTCACTCACACTGTGTTTCTCACAGTTTCATAGGGAAACCTGACAACTTTACTGCAGTTTCTGACTGAGGTAGAGTTGGATGGTCTTCCATATTATTTCCTCATAGATGGAGCACGTGGGGTGTGAGTCCCCGGTGGGCCAGGCTGTGTCCCCAAACTCTCTGCTCCCCCCAGGGGTTACAGAGGGCTGGGGACCCCCAGGCATCACCAACCAGGCGGGACTCCCCTTGGAGGCGGTGAGATGCTGAGGTTGCCCCTGGCCACTAGATGGCGCTCCACCATCGCTCAATTAAGGCAAAGCCAGCTGCTCCCAGGTCCTGCGTCTTCTAAACACAAGGCTTTCGGAGGAGTTTCTAATGAGTTGATTGATGGAGTAGGAAGTGTGGAAAAAAGGATCACATTTGTAGGATGCTCGTATATCTATGCCTACTTCCCTCCCGTCTTGTCAAGCTAGTATCACTGTGCTATAATTTATTATTAAAACATATCCTTGGACTCATTTCCACAAGGCACATGGCTCCCCGAGATTGGATGGGGTGCATTGGGGTCCTGGAGCCTGGGTTCTCCATTACCTGGGATGTGATTGCCTTTTCCCTCTTCTCCTCCCCCGCGAGGCAGGTGGGGCTCAACCCCGCATTGGGACCACCTGGGAGCCTCTGCAAGCAGCACCCGTCGCCCAGCTGAGGCTCTGGTTAAATGGGTCTGCGGGCAGCTTTGAGTCCTCCCAGGTGAACCTACCACTCAAAGGTGAGCAACTGCGTGAGGGCAGAGGCTCTGTCTGTCCTTCCTTCTGGAGGGGGGGTGCCTGATGCCCAGTACAGTATCAGACACACACCAGACACTCAACAAATGTGTGTCCAACAGGATGACAGAAACTGTCCCCTCCCCCCCCCCCGACCCCCTGCCGGGAGATCTAAAGAAAAGGCAGGCTTTCCTAGAAACAGCCACCACCATAGCACACGGACGTTTATGGAAGGCTCTCGTGTCAGCGCTCACGCATCTTATCTCAGCCCCGCCCCGGAAGTGGGATGGTGGTGGGGGCAGTGGGTGAGGCGGTGGGGCTGGCAGGCACCTTGGCAGAAGTGCTTTGGGATAAACAGCCCCAGGGCTGCACTGGGGCCTGAAGAGGCCAGTCTGGGAGCTCACGGTCCTGCACGCAGCCTGGGAAGACGCTTAGCTTTAGTGTGGCCCTGGCCTTCTCAGAGCTGTGTGTGTGTGTTCCGTGCACCCAGTGGAGGCAGGAGGCATGGAGGGGCTGGTGAGCTACGCCTTGGGGCACTGCGCCGCCCTGCCAGCGACGGTGGCCTTTCCCGTTCTTCTGTTTCTGTTGACCCTGTCTCCTCCAATTCCCCTGGAAACAGCCCCTTTCCCCAGAGGAGTGACCCAGGGATCCATTCTTCTTCCTTTAAAATTTATTTCCTTGTGGGGTCCCCATTGTCCAAACTTAGAATAATTAAAGCGTTAAAATTGATGCATTAAAAATTATTTGTAAGGTGTTGAACAAAAGGAAAAAGAAAAGGAAAGGAAAAAACAGAGAAATATGTCCTTTTGAAGAATTCAGCTAATAGATGTGGAAGGCATTAGAGAATCACCACTGTGCCACCCGTGATGTAACAGTCGCCCTCGACAATTTACTGCAACGACCCCATTTCCAAGTAAGGACACGTTCTGAGTCCCTTGGGGTTAGGACTCCCACAAACAAGCTTTGGGGGCACAAGTCAGCCCATAACAGAAGGCGGGAGAGCTGGCGATTGGTCTGCAACCCTCCCGCTTCCCTGAGTTCAGAGGTACTCAGTGCTGCCTCCTCCTGGCTGGTCCGAGGCAGAGCCAGGACTAGCCCGTCAGATTACCCTTGGGAAGAGTTCCCTCCGTCAGGCCCTCTGCAGGAGAGGGCATCACCGGGGACCCTGTCACTGCCCCACCTGCCAGGGAGAGCCACACCGCTGCTGCCTGTGGACAGTGGCCAATGCCTCCCTTTGGCAGAGTGTCGGTCCAGGACTGAGGGACCCCTCCAGGGCTATTGCCAGAAGCCGTCAGCCAGCCCCCATGCCCCCACTCAGCTGCACAAACTGCAGACAGGCTGACCTCCCTGAGCCCAATAGGACCAGCCATCCCTGACCAGTGACTTGATCATCTCTCCACCACTGGCTCCCAGCATAGCCCCGTGCCCTGGGCTGCCCTCTGAGCTGGGCCCATTCCTGGGAAGACATTCTTCCTTGTCCCCTTGGCTCACATGCCCCAGGGAATCTGGAGCCCATTGTCACACTGTGTTTCTATGTCTGGGCCCCACCCCCCTTTTTTTGGGGTGACAGCATTTGGCACCTCCACAGGGTCGTGCAACCACCAACACATTTTCATCCCCCAAAGGAAACCCTCTACCAATTAAGAGTCACTCCCCACCCCAGCTCCAGCCCCTGGTGACACTGACTTCCTGTCTCTATAGATTTGCATATTCTAGATATTTCATGTAAATGGAAGCATATAACATGTGGGCTTTGTGCCTGGGTTCCTTCATGAGCGTCATGTTTTCAAGATCCATCCATGTTGTAGCGAGTTTCAGAACTCCATCCCTTTTCATGGCTGAGTAATATTCCATCGTGTGGACAGACCACTGTGTGTTGATCCGTTCATCTGTGGATGGGCATGTGGGCTGGTCCCACCTTTTGGCCACAGTGAATGTGCTGCTGTGAACAGTCCTATACACCAGTGCTCAGCTCTCTTGGGTACATACCCAGGAGAGCCGGGGTCCTGTGGTAACTCTATGGTTAGCTTTTTGAGGAACTGCCAGGTGGCTTTCCTGGGCTGTGAACTCTGGCAGGCCTGGCCCCTCTCCTGTTCCCAGGTGCTCACTCCACCCTGGGAGGTGCCATCGTGGCAGGGATACTCCCCTGGGAGGAGATGGCCTCCTGCCCTCCCCTGGCCTCCCTGTGGCTGGGGGTGGAGGGCGGGGCAGCCCCTGGCACGGCCCCACCTGGCCTCTCACTGGCTGGTGAGCTGTGGCCCCGCCCTCATCAAATTGGAGCAGGACAGGGGGTTGTGGGATCGGCAGGCCTGCACTGAGTCCTGGCCAGTGGGCCTCCTGAGTGTGATGGACTAAGAGCTGCGGTCAGGGTGGACTCTGTCTGGAGGCCCTGCCAGCAGGGTGCAGGCAGAGGCCCGAGCTTTGTGTGCAGAAGTAGCCGATTCAACCTGTGCCCCTGGCGCTGGGTTGGGAGTGGGCTTGGGGGCTACGCTCACTGAGCACCATCACGCCAGCATGCAGCGCCCGTGCCCACCCTCTGCGTCGGGGTGTTCAGGTGTGGAGACTGAGGCTCAGAGGAGTTAAGTGCTGGCTCAATCGCCCAGTTAGGGGTGGAGTGTCTCCTCACCCAAAAGCAAGTCACATCTGAGGTGAGACACAGAGACACCACTGGTGATTTGAAACAGGTGGCAAAGGGACCCAGCATGTGCCGAAGTGATGCAGGTGCATGTCTCCAGGCTGCTGACGGGAAACAAGTAACTCATGATTTTTTGTCTCTTCTGAACACCAGCTAGGGAGGTAAAAGGGACTGGGACGAGAAAGGGCCAGGCAGGCCAGGCTGAGGGGCTGTGCTGTCCTTTTCTGGGGGCCTCCTGCAAAGTGGCCTTGTGCAGTGCGCAGCCTGAGCGGCCATTCAGGGTGGCTTGGGTGGAGGGCGCTACGGGCATGTGACCAGGACGTTCCCAGCTGCTCTGCTCTGTGCTGGGTGCCGTTGGGCAGGTCATGAGGCTTCTGGGCTGCTGGGCTCTGAGTGTCCTAGGCTAACATCCCATGAGGGAAATCTCCCCCACCCCTTTGTCACCACACAGACGCATCTAAACAAGGTCAGCTGCTTTTATTAGGACTGAAGGGAGAGTAGCCCCTGGCGGAGAGGGAGCGGCTTGGGGGAAGGCTGCTGGAGTCAGTCCCCCTGCGCCGGGCTGTCACCCACCCTGGGCGGCTCAGCGCCTCCTTCCAGGGGGAAGCCGGCCAGCCGGTGCTTTGGGGAATTCCTCAGGGCCGCTCTCCTCCGGCCAAAGCGGCCCACCGGCCTGATCCTGCGGCCCGTGTACCAGGCAGGATTGACGTCCGGGGCTGGAAAGAGAGTGCGAGCAGTCACCGAAGCGCGTCCCTGGCGTGTACGCTGTGCTCCCAGCTAGCAGGTGCTCCCCATGGGGGCTCTTAGCTCGCTGCTCCCCCAGGCCGTGCGGGGGCCCACCCACAAAGGAGGGGCACCCAGAGGGTCTAGATGGTGGGGCAGCTTTGGGAAATGGGAATGCAAATTCGCCCTTGGACTGAGACCAACTCCCTGCCCCCCATTCTTGTGCCGGGGCTGTGCAAAGCCTGCTCGGCTCCAGGCCACCCTGGTAGTGAGAGGCGAACCCCTCAAGTGCGTGCTGGACAGGGCCACTCTGGGGAAGGACTGGTGAGCAGCAGACCAAGCCCCCAGAGCTGGGACACTTAGCAAGAACGATGCCCCAGGTGAGGAGGTGGCCCTGGGGTGGGGAGAGGGGGTGAGGGAGGCTGCCGCCTGGGGTCCTGGCACTCACCGCGGATCTCCATGGAGTGCTGGTGGGCGCGGCTCGCAGCCCCCCGCAGGGCCATGCCCAGCAGCAGCAGGCACAGAAGCCAGGCCCGCAGGTCCTTCATTGCCCCGGCTCCTCGCCGAGACCCGGCTCGAGGTGGGCTCCCACACGAGAGGGAGGGCAGAGCCTGGGCAGAAGGCAGGAGCCACGTTAGATGCGCAGGAGGGCGCGTGCGCACGGAGCTGGGAGACTTAACATGAGCGCCGCGTGTGTACGAGAGAGGGAACACACATGTATAAGGGTGTGTGTGCATGCATGTGCTTGTGTGTACCTGTGAGAGTGTGTGCATGTGGAACATGCTTGTGCACGCGCGCGTGCGTGTGTAGGTGAGTGTGTGCGTTCCTCTGCTCTGTGCTGGGGTGGGCATGAGCACAGAAGTAGCAGGGCTGCCCTGGAGAAGTCGTGTGCCCTCCCTGGGACCTCATTCTCTCCTGTGTACAGTGAGCCTTACATGAGGTGACCGTGTGTGTGTGTGTGTGTGTGTGTGTGTGTGTGTGTGTGTGTGAGCCTCTGTCATCAGGTGGAACCGGGAGGTGTATGAGCTGTGGATGCAGACAGGCAGTCTGTCTTGGAGCAGCTTGCTCTGTCCGTGTGTCTGTGTTAGGGAACCAGAGGTGGGGAGGTCTCTGCAGGGCTGTGTGTGGTGCACACCCAGGTCTGGGCAGGGAGGGCAGAGGTGAGCAGGTTTGTGGGAGCTGCTCCAAGGAGCCCAGAGGAGCTGCGGGTTTGGAGGGGCGCTTGCCCCTCCTCTTATGGCCTGGGGGGCTGGGGGCTGAGCCGGGGCCTGGCGCAGGTTCCTTTCCCTCACCGGGTCCAGGGCCTCCTGACGCCCAGTCCATCCTGCCCCCTCCCCATGGAGGACGTCAGCTGACCATCAGGCATTGAAGGAGAGTCAGTATCCTGCGTCCTTACTAAGAGCACCCCCACCCTCCATGACCCCAGATTCAATCTGCACATCTCCAAGATAAGCCTGCAAAAGGTGGGACCTGGCCTCACCTGGCAGGACGACCCTGTTATAGATGGTGGGGGGACAGGATGCTGCAGGCAAGCGGTACCCAGAAAACCCACCTTTCATCCTGCCAGGGAGGCTCTGACCTGCCTAAACACATCCCTCCGGCACACCTGGCCTCTCCTCCAGCCTCATGGGGCTGCTTCCCCCACAGGTGCCCCCACCCTTGGCTTTTTAGGAGCTCCCAGGTGTCACCCGAGAGCCCTGCTTGTCTCAGGGAGAGCCCGCTGCCAACTTCGACTTTCCAGCCTGTCCCTGAGCCCCGTGGAACGTGCTCTCCATCTGAGCGACTTAAAATACCCACCCCTCTCATTTTAAGAGGCCTATTGGGGTATCACACATGGGATGGGGGACCCCAGACTCAGAGAAATGGTGGGCCATCATGAAAGCAAAGTAATAAAGGGTTGCATGCAAATGCGCTGGGCCGGGCCTACGCTGGGTGGAGGGCTAGGAGAACGTTAGCAGCTCCTGGTCCCCAAGGACCTATCTCCCTTTGAGGTGGAGGTTTTGCTCTGTGCGTCCCGGGACTCCTGGTCTGCACACCCAGCGGAGTTGCTTGGGCTGCTTTACCTTTTGTCTTCACCATGGACAGCGCTTGAGCACTGGGGGCCCTGGGTGGGCAGGGGTGGCCCTCAGACACACACACTGTGGCTGGCTGCCCCTGCCTGACCCTCTCGGTGCTAGCCCTGGCGGCCCCCTGCCCCGAGAGAGTTTGCGGAGACGGAGGGCAGACTAACAGTGCCTCCCAGCTCTCCAGCGCCTTCTGTGCTACTCACTGCGGTTCCCCACGCTGGTGGCGAGTGCTGCCGATGTCCTGAGTGGTGACTCAGGCGGAAGCCAGCTCCTTTTATAGTGTAAGGAGGGGGCAGCTGACCCCCAGACTGTGCCCACCTCCCTTACAGGGCGGCATCAGGGGAGTGTTTTCTCCTGTTTTCTTTCTCTTTTTTTTAAACTCTCATCAGTGACGTGATTTGGCCCTTCCTGGGTTATATAATTTCATTTGAGCCAAGTGGTTTTAAAACACATTAGGCGTCTTCCTTCATGCTGGCCTTCGGGCACGTTGCAAGTCACGCACCACTGGTCCAGGCTGCCCCTGCGGTGCTGCCACCAACACAGAAAGGTGACTGTGCAGCCACAAGGAGAAGCCACCCATACCTCACATGACGGTTTTCTATCTTTGTAAATCTTCTCAGTCCTTGCCCCGTCACTTACGTGACCTTCCATAGTGGCATTCACGGCACAGCACTTTCGTCCTTTTCCGTAACTTAACATGTATTCTTTTCTAGGCTTTTGCAAGTCTTCATAATTAATGTTTAAAATAAACAAGCTTATTATTATTGGAAAACAAATAATTATTATTATTAGAAAACAAATACATTGATTTTTATTATAAAAGCAATTTATATACATTTGTAAAGAATTTAACACGTACAGAAAAATGGGGGGATAAAAGCACCTATACCGTCAAAGAAGCGAACCATTGTCGCACACAGTCTGTTTACTCCTGTGGGATTCCCACGCATGTGCTGGGCGCATTCATCATATTTATATGTTTTGAGTCTCATTGTTTTCATTTAATAATCATGTCCTCAGCTTGTTGGAAAAACCTGTATATTGGTGCCATTTGAAATAAATGCGCAATATTCTACCATTTAGTGTGGACCCGAGAACCTAACTCATTCATGTTCTGAGTAATTCCATTGTCGAGGTCATTAAGGACAGTCCCCGGGAAACTTCTCTGGGGGACAGGGTGGTGTCCTGTCCCTCGGATGTGCAGGGTGGTGATGTGACACATATAAGTGTGTGTGAGCATGTGTGCACATGTGTGTATATGTGTGTGAGCATGTGTGCGAGAGCATGTGTGCACACGTGTGCGAGAGCATGTGTGCACATGTGTGTGTGTGTGAGCATGTGCGCACGTGTGTGTGTGTGTGTGTGTGAGCATGTAGGGGGACAGCGAACCCCCTTTCAGAAAAGTAGCTCCAATGTGGATGGAGATAGTCTCAGAGACACAGGAAAAACTGAGGGTTGCTAGTTGGGAGGGGGCGGGGATGAGGGAGAAGGGGAAGGGATGAGACAATACAAATTGGTAACTACAGTATGGCCTCAGGGATAGAAAAGTCAGTCTGGGGAATACAATCAATAATGTTGTAAATATTTCTTAGGGGGCCAGATGGTCTCATGTCTTGCTAGGGAGACCACATCATAGACAGTGTAAAGGCCTGACCACTGTACTGTACATCTGAAGCTGATGTTGAATAATATTTTATGTCAACTATAATTGTATATACATATAGTCACGGGACATGGAGTAGAGTGTGGGAATGGAGTCAATGGAATTGTAATAGATAAGCATGGTATCGGGGGTGGGAGGGCAATAAATGGGGGGAGGGTGGTTGTTACTTTGTGAGGGTGAAAAGGATAACTATTGCATTGTTCTGTACACCTGAAACTAACTATAAAAAAAAATAATTAGGTTGCAAAACAAAACAAAACAAAACAAAACAAAAAAAAATATATATATATATATATATATATATATATATATATATATAAAAGTAGCTCCATCACAGTGTGGCATTGGTGCCCTGCCACTTGGGGGGCTCACCAATGGGTGGTGGCAGGCTGGTGGTGGGGAGGTGGCCCTGGCATGGTGGCATTGCTCCAGCCCCTCCACCTGCACAGCCCTCAGCCCCGCTGAGAGGAGAATGGTGCCCCCCATGGTCTCCGGCGGCACCCAGTGGAGGACGCAGAGTTACTGAGGGACACGTTGAGAGCTGGGGATGTAGTGATGGCAGCAGGTGGACAAATGCGAGTGAGGTCAGGGTCCCCACCATTCCTGCAATGCCCCCCACCCCCCGCCCTGAGCCCCGGGGCTGAGGGCGGATCCTGGCTGCCACGTGCTTTGGTAAATGGTCCCCAGAGTGGGTTTGGCAGGGGCCCGAGCCCAGGGAGCCCTTTGCACACCCTCTTTAATTTGGTCACGGTTTCAGGGTGGGCGAGGGTCACGTGCTCTTGCTCTGGCTTTGGCCAATCAGTGTTTCACCCAGGACATCATGTGGCTTCTTGAGTTGTGGTGCCTATCAACTCGAACCTGAGCAAGGAAGTCCCTCTGTGGAGTGCCCCCTCCCCCACCTGCAGAGGCCACGGGCACCTGGACCAACATGCTGGCCACCACGACTTCTGCCTCTCACTCACTGAGCTGGTTCTGTGTTTTGCGTGAGCGTCTTCATTGACTGAAATGACTGTTGTGCTTTTCTCATGTCATCTATTAGTGTAGTGGGTGAAATCTAACATTAAAAACTCCGAGCTTTCCTGGGATGAATCTTACTTGGTCAAGATGAGTAGGTATTTTTAATACATTGCTGAGTTTGTTTCACTAATATGTTCTTTAGGATGTTTTTCCTCATCTGATGCCTGCAATTCTCCTTTCTCGCATGTCTTTGTTCTGTTTGGTGTTAAGGTTTTACTGGCCTTACCAAAGGGCAGCGTGCTTTCCCGCTTTGCCTGTTTTCTGAAGGAGTTTGAGGAAAGACGTGAGTTCGGGGGCGGTTTGGGAGGCACAGGGGGTAGGGCTTGGGGGCTGAGCGGCGAGGACGGGAAGTAGGGTTGGGGTCGTGGGCCAGGGGTTTCTGGCTCCAGAGCTGGGCGGGCCAAGACGCGAGAAGTGATGAGTTCAGTGGTGGCAGGTGTTGGAGGGGCCTGAGGGACGGCCAGGTGGCCGCTCTGTACATCTGTAGTGACTCAATGAGGCCTTGGCCATGGACAGACCATGGACGTGAACAGAGCACAGGTGGCCATGAACGGGTTCTGGGGTACAAGGACTCAGCACCCCTCTTATGCTAACACACAGGGGCATGTCAGGGCAGCCCAAACTCTCTTCTCAACTCTTGGGAACTCAACGTTGACTTTAATTAACTTTGTGAAGAAGGAGGGGTGCACATAAAGTAGACCCCCTTTCATCTGTAGCCACCGTTTAGTCATTTTTAGCCTTGGATAGGAGCTACACGTTTCAACCAGTCTCCATCCTGGGGAGGAGCGCCAGGTCTGCCTTTTCCACACGTCCCAACACAGTGTGAAGCCGAGTCACTCAATCCACTCAGAGGTGATCTCTGAATTGTGGCATTTGCACCAGGCGCGCGTTGGGCCAGCCCATCGTCACCGACTGAGGCCACTGTGGTGACTGTGACATGATGGGCTCAGGGGAGGCACCAAGCTAATGGTGCAGAGCCTGTTCAGCCGTGGGCGGGGCTCTGCCCAGTCAGGTCAGAAGGAAGTCTCATTACCAGGGGCCCCTGGGCGTCACTTCTCTGCCTTCCATGTTTGGTTATCATTTCAACAGAACAAAAGCATCCGTTGGAGGGAGCCATGTTAAGCTGACCTTAACTCACTTCAGAAGGGATTGGAGGGTCACAAAAGTGGCTCCAGGGGACGCTACCTCACACTCAGGGCTCTGCGTCCTCCTCAGCAAAAGGGGCTTACATTTAATCCAAGGGTTAAACAGGTCCGTGAAACTGTGAAGACAATAGCCCCGCTCATTGAGGGGGTGTGATGCTGTTTCTATGCTCAGTGGCAGCTCTGGGGGTCACAGCGGGCTCCCCTTCAAACTGGATGAGCCACACCACGTGTGCACGCACACAGGCGCACACAGGCACATGCACGCTTCTGGGTAGACACCCAGAAGTGCCCCTCAGTCCCAGACTGTCCGAGGTGGAGGAGAACTTGGGTTCATCTATGGACCCGATGCCAAGTGGCTCTAGGGCATCACTAATGGGTTCTGACCCTCTGTCCGCCTGGACCCACGTAGCGAGTGGCAGTGCCAGGCTGGGATCCAGTCTTCTGCCTGCCCGGTTACAGCACCACCAGTCACCTCTCCCAGCTGGTCCTCTGTGCCTGCAACTGGGCACTGAGCAAATGCTCACTTGCTACTCTGTGTGTGGCTTGCCCTTGGCCACAGGGCAATTTCCCCCGTTCTGTGAACCACAGGTAAACTTGAATAGGTGTGTGTTGGGGAAAGGGTGGGAGGAGATGTCTATTCTTTCCTCATTATTCAGCTGGTCATGAGTCAGTCACTTGTCTTGATGCCCAATTTCCTTCTCCAATCATACCCACACAGAAACACACTCACATCTATACACGCTGTGATAGTCAAGAATTCACAGATGGCTGGTGCCATGACTGAGTCATCCCTTTTCTGTTCCATCAGGAAAGCAACATAAGAAAAGCAACAGTGAAAGGGGTGAAAGATCACACTACAAAGGTCTTCTGTGTGTCCTCCAAAAAGTTTACACAACACGGTCCTAGAGGAAAGCCGTCTCAGCTGAGATGTTTCCCACTGGTCAGAGCAGCTGGCAGGGGTGGCCCTGGAAGTTGTTGATGAACATGGGTGAGCAGCTGCTTGTCTGAGGACCATTGTCACCTCTCAGGTGGGGTTCCATGACAGATGATGATTCTTCTTGTTTCTCCAGAAGGTGCAGAGCGGGAAGTCCAGGGCAGATGGGGACACGTGGCAGTGGCGGGGAGAGCAAGGTCAGGGCCGCTCTGTCACTCTGTCCCCTTCCTCCTTTAGGGCTGGTGGGTCATCACAGGCTTCTGTGAAGCACAAACACACATAAGCGTGCACAGATGGGTATTCACACGCATGCACACACACGGACACATGCACAGACACACAGGCATGCACACAGCTACATGCGCAAACACACAGACATGTGAGTCAGAACCCATTAGACAGCCCCCTCAGGTTTTACAAAGCCCCTCCCTGCCTTTGTCTCCCCAGCTATGATTTGGGTCGATGACACTGGCCCTCATCAGATGGGGTGTATGGATACAAAGTACTTGATCACTTAAAGTTCTGAAACGTGGGGAGATGGACATACTTCTAATTTGAAAGCATTCCATTTCTCAAGTCCCTGGGTGGCTGGTGGGGTGGTGGCGAGTGTCCTCACTGTGTCATGGACTGTGCCTTCCCTCAGCGTCCTCACTGCCTCACGGACTGTCCCTTCCCTGAGCCGAGACCCACTCCAGGGTGATCAGAGACTCATCATTGATATATCTGGTACCTTTAATAATGTTTTTGATTTTTGTTTAAATCTTTTGCTGATTTTACTTTGTTACTTTACCCCAATTTTCTTTACTCTAAAGACAATATCAACATGGAACTGTGACAGGCCACAGAATTTTGAAGACGCCCCAGGAAAGGAGATGCGAGCTTACCGCGAAGCTGTGCCTGGCGGCGCCCCTCCTGCCGTTGGGGTTTCTCTGTGTCAGGGACCCGCGGTACACCGATTTCCGATCAAAGGACTCACCATCTTTACCGTTGGGGAAAACAGAGGGGCTGTGCTTCTTAATCACAAACTCACCCCGACAAGTGTCTTCGCCTCTTAAGAAATGTAAAAAGTAGCACAAAAACAGAAACCGCCCCCCCCTTTTTTTTTTTAGCTGAGCCATCCTGTCACCTGTTGGCAGCTCAGCGGCAGCTCAGCTCAGGCCGGGCATCAAACCGCTGTTGCTCAGAGCTCACACTCTTGAGCGAGCTCTTAGCCAACTGAGCCACTCAGCCGGCCCAACAGAACCCCTTTTGAGATGTGTTCTCAGCATTAAATAGTTTTCACAAAGGACTTATATTTTAGCCATTGTGCAAATAAACAGTTCAGTCTGATTCTTCCTCCTTTGCTTTGGAGCAAACCGCCCTGGGGCCCAGAAATGCTCACGTGGGCAAAGCAACAGAAAACATCACCACTGTGCTGGTGTCTGGGGTATGTGTGCTGCTTTGCTTTCATTCTGGGGGCCTGAGGGGTCTTGGGACACTGACCCTCAGGAGAGGGGGTTTCCCCTAGGGGCTTTGGTTGTGAAGCTGGAGCATTGGGCCTCAAATCCCAGTCAACTGCATTCACGGCTGCAGACGAGCAAACGTGGGGGTGGGGAGGGGTAGACTGCAGCTGTTCCTCACTTTGCGGGTCTCAGGTGGTCCTGCCTGACTCAGGGGGCTGCTCCACAGGTGTGAAGAGCCGGAGGAGCACAGCTCCGTGGTCGGTGACGTCATGGGAACAGCTTGAAACCCGCCATGGTGAAAGTGCTGACACCGCGGACACTGGCAAATGCTACGAGTCAGGGTTCTTTCTCTCCCTCCCTCCTTCCCTTTCTTCTGTTGGAGAGCCGGCTTCCCTGCCTAACACTCCATCGTCCCGTTTTGGGCAGGGTACATTGTGCCTCACCATACATGCCCACTCTGGCACCAGCCTCCGTTAAGGGACCTTGCTAACCCAGGGATCACAGCACCTGAGTGGTGAGGACACACGTGGCCCTTCCCACCTTGACACTGATGCATGTGGCCCTGCCGCTGTGGGGGCCACTCCACTGAGGCTGGTCACGGTGGCAGGAGCGACATGTGAAGGGTGGGCAGCCTCAGCTGTGCAGTTTAGACCCTGAAACGGCCGCGAGCTTCAGGGGGCCTGGTGGTGAGGTATTGGGCTGGATGCGAGAGGCCTCTCAACTGGACACCACCAGTCACAGAGATGGCTCTAGGGACTCACCCCTTGTTCTTTTGCTGTGAACATGAACTTCCATTTGCATTTTAGCCATGAGACCTGCTGGAGATGCCCCTCAAGGGTCAGGGGTGGTGCCCTAGAAACGCGCCGGCCCCTCAGCAGGTGGTCTGTCTGGCAGTCGCCCTCCTCACTGGTGGCCCTGAATTCACCTGAAAGGGCCTCGGGCAGCAGCTCTGTCCCTGGCCTGGCCTGCACGTGTGTTGGGAGCTCCAAGGTGCAGAGAGGGAGCTGGCACGGAGGTGGGGGGATGCAGGGCGGGGCAGAGGTGCCCCAGGGAGGTGCTTGAGGACCTCCTGGGGGTGGCATCACCTCAAAGGGCCGAGATGGGAGGGAAAGGGAGTGGGCAGTGTTCCGGCAGGAGGCACGGCCCAGGCCAAGGCGGGGAGGCACGTGTCTGCCAGTGGGCTCTGAAACCCTCTGGGCTCAGGGAGGGCGCGCCGTCCAGCGTGGAGGGCGGGGTCTCGGGAGGGCTGGGCCAGGAGGCGTGCTGGGCCCTGTGTGGCAAGCGGCACAAGGCTGAAGACTGTGCTAGGAAATTCCTCTGTCCTGCAGATGAGGGACCTGAAGAGCCCTCCCTGTAGGGACCACGGCTGTGGTGGAGTTGGAACGATGGAGTGGTGAGAGCAGAGCTCAGACCCCGGGTAACAGGGGGCCCACGACGGCTCAGGGCCTGAAATCGCTGGACAGCGGAGGGCCTGGACCCTGACCTGGGACCTGGGCCGCTTCCCTCCGGTGACCTGTGTTCGGCTGCCAGGTGAGCAGTGACGAGCACACGCGATTCCCTGACAGCCGGGCCGTGTGCTGTGGAGGCAGCCAGGCCTTACACGGTTTGTCCAAGACAAAGCTGGTGTCCTTGTTACCACCAAGGCATCAAGGTAGGCTAAGTTATGTCCTCCCCTTGTGTAGGAAGGCCGCAGCTGTGCACCGTAAAAGGACAACTGACATCCAAAACGTGGAAACCACCACCATCACCGCCTCTGCCTGGTTATAGCAGGACTCACTGGGATGGTCCCTGAGGGTGGCCGGAGCGGCACCGGGACTGTCCTCTGGGCATAGGAGGCCTGAGCTGCTGTGTCCCACAGGTCACGTAGAAACACAGAGCCTGGACCTGCCATTTCCACACGCTGAGCTCATCTCCCAGGCCTGTGGGATGAGGGAAGCAAGTGACTCTTACCTTGACTTGTAGGGGACTCACTGAACTTCGCCCTCAGAAGGTAGGGCACACCCATCGCCTGGAAGAAAGAAGACTCTCTGGGCCTCACTCAATCACTGTAACTTTTAGGAACACTGGCAGCTAATTTCGGGCTTTTCATCGTTCTTCCAGATTCTAACTAATCAGGTCAGCTGTCTTCTGGTCTTTGGCAATACTTGAACTTTTAACAATACTAAACTGCATGTTATCCATCAATTAAGCACCAAATCTCTTGATGCTTAGCTTCTGGGGAACTGCTCCCTTGGGGTGGGGTGGCCGCAGGGGTACCGGCTGTGAGGGTTCCCCCCACGCCCCCCTCACCTCGGTGTGCGTCTCTGAGACTGCCGAGCTGTGACACTGGCCCACTTCTCCAACCCCCTGTGTCCCGTCACACTTCTGGAGAAGCTGTGCCAGCCTTTTACTCTTTGTCCAGCCTCCAGAGGTTAAAGGGAATGGCACATACCTTGACCTCATCCGAAGGGTCTGCGGTTGGGTCCTTAGGACTCTGGCCATATTTCCCAGCAAGTCGGGGAAGAAATACCTGGCAGACAAGGAAGAAGCCTGTATGTAATAACCCCTTGTGTGGCCTCCAACCACGGCAGGAAGGGGGAGGACAGCTGCACACAGGATGGACGTTCTCTCTAAATACTCGGTCAGGACTCCTGGGAAGGCACGTCCGCCCCACCAAACCCACCACGGGTGCTCTGGTACCAGGGCGGCCAGGTAGCGAATTAAAGCACAGAATGCCCGGTTAGATTTGAATTCCAGATAATCATGGAATCATTTTTTAGTGTAAGTGTGTCCCAAGTAGTGCATGGCATATACTTATGCTAGAAAATGATTTGTCGTTTATTTGAAAGTCAGTTTCAGCCGGGCGTCCTGTATTTGACCTGCAATCCCACCAGGGACTCTCCCTGGGGCACCTTTGATTTTTGGCCAGAGTCACTCAGTTGGAGCTGCGTTTCCCTCAGAAGGCACATTCTCTCGTTAGAAACAAGTAATAAATGAAAAAGAATTCCCACATGGCACAATTCACTGATGGCTGCTAGGAAAACAGCCTGGCAGCCGCCCAGGAACCACCTGACGCAGGGTGGCCCTGTGCTCCTGGCAGGTCTCCGGGCCTGGCCCCAGGGCGCTGCGGCCGCCACTCACCGGGATGTTGGACCTCCTCCGGGGCTTCCCCGCCGGCCTCACGGTCAGCCCTGCAGCGCGCAAGGCTTCGATCCTGAACTCGATATCTGAAACCTGGGCAAACAACAGACAGCAGACACACATCACTTGGAGGTCCCATCAAAGTGTCACAGTACTGAAAGAGCAGCTGCTCCTAATTCACTAATTTTACTGTTTACTAATTTTACATAGATCCCAATGGGAAACAGTAAAATTAGTGAATTAGGAGCAGCTGCTCTTTCAGTACTGTGACACTTTGATGGGGTCTCAACTGGACGCACTTCCTGGAGGTCCCATTTCATTCATCTGCCACTGTTGTCAGGGAGGGGCAGGGTGCTCCTTGTGGGTCCCCCCAAGGCAGGAGCACAGGGGCTCTATACATTTTTTGGAAGTCTGGCTCCCGGCAGGGTAGGAGCGGGCAGTGAATGGGGGACAGTGACACCCCGGCTGTAAGGGATGGGGCCATGCTGTACGGGTAAAAGCTTG